AAGTAAAATAGATCTTTATAACATAGTGTACCTTCATGATTAAATTTTGTTTTTGTTTTGTTTTGTTTTGTTTTTTTGAGACAGAGCCTCGCTCTGTCGCCCAGGCTGGAGTGCAGTGGCACAATCTCGGGTCACTGCAAGCTCCACCTCCCAGGTTCACGCCATTCTCCTGCCTCAGCCTCCTGAGTAGCTGGGACTACAGGCACCCGCCACCATGCCCAGCTAATTTTTTGTATTTTTAGTAGAGATGGGGTTTCACCATGTTAGCCAAGATGGTCTCACTCTCCTGACCTCATGATCCACCCGCCTCAGCCTCCCAAAGTGCTGGGATTACAGGCGTGAGCCACCGTGCCCGGCCCTGATTAAAGATCTTTGACATTTCTTTATAACTTAAGAAAAAAACATTTAAATTTCAGGACAATTATTGAATCTAAGAGCTAAGGACTAAACACTACATTGAAAGCTAGATATGGCTGAGTGCAGTGGCTCACACCTGTAATCCCAGCCCTTTGAGAGGCTGAGGTGGGAGGATCACTTGAGGCCAGGAGTTGAAGACAAGCCTGGGCAACATAGGGAGACCTTGTCTCTACAAAATATTTTTTTAAAAATTAGCCTAAAAGTTCAAGGTTACAGTGAGCTATGATTGCACCACTGCATTCCAGCCTAGGTGACAGAGTGAGACCCTCTCTCTAAAAATAAAAATAAAAAAGAAAGCTCATTTTTAAATACTGTGAATGATTAGTTTGAAGTGGCATCCCCAGCTTCTTCATATGACCCAATTAATTTTTTAAATAATGGAAGAAGTTAGGTGAAATTTTTAAAAACAACTCTGTCATGGGGATGAATTTTACCAGGAGATAAAGCAGCTGAGTTCTATCTTGGCTGTCTGTAGTTTACCATGTAGCCTTGGGTAAGTCACTTACCTCTCTGCCTGTTTTCTTATCTACCAAATGAGGGTGTCACCCTCAATATACTGTGGTTTCTTCAAACTCTTACACTATGAGCAATGGTTCTGGACTTTTTCCCCAGGGAGACACATACATGTGGGGTCATGTTCAACTCTCAGAAGCTGAATTGTTTGTGTTGTTGTTGTTACTGCTGCTGCTTTAGTTTTAAGGCAGCAATATAGATAAAATAGGATATAGGTTACGCATAATTTCCAGTTTTAATCCCACTCCGTTTTTTCCCAATTGTTGCGGGAAGTCAGGGAACCCAAACAGAGGGACCTGCTGAAGCCGTGACAGAAGAACATAAATTGTGGAGATTTCATGGACATTTATCACTTCCCCAATCGATACTCATATAATTTCCTATGCCTGTCTTTACTTTAATCTTTTAATCCCGTCATCTTTGTAAGCTGAGGATATATTTCACCTCTGGATGCTGTGATGATTGCGTTAACTGCACAAATTGTTCATAAAGCATGTGTGGTTGAACAATATGAAATCTGGGCACCTTAAGAACAGGATAGCAGCGATTTTCAGGGAACAAGGGAGATAACTTTAAAGTCTGGCTGCCTGGGAGCCAGGCAGAACAGAGCCATATTTCTCTTATTACTGAAAATGGGTAAGAGAAATATCGCTGAATTCTTTCCCCAATAAGGAATATTAATAATTAACAGCCCTGGGAAAAGAATGCATTCCTGGGGAGGCCTCTAAAATGGCTGCTCTGGGGGTGTCTGCCTTATGCAGTTGCAGATCAGGGACGAAACACGCCCTGGCCTCCTGCAACACCCTCAGACTTGCTAGGATTAGGAAATTCCAGCCTGGCAAATTCTGTCAGACCAGTTCAAGGCTCTTGAATCCTGTTAAGATGTTTATCAATGACAATGCATGCACAGCGGGACATGGAAGTTCATTAGTGATTCTAGTTTCGCCCTGACCTTCTGCCTTGTGATCTTTTGTTGCCCTTGAAGCATGTGATCTCTGTGACCCACACCCTATGCGTACACTCCCTCCCCTTTGAAAATTGCTAATAAAAACTTGCTGGTTTTGTGGCTCAGGGGGCATCACAGAACCTGCCGACATATGATGTCTCTCCCGGACACCCAGCTTTAAAATTCCTCTGTTTTGTACTCTTTCCCTTTATTTCTCAGACCGGCTGACACTTAGGGAAAATAGAAAAGAACCTACATTGAATTATCAGGGGTGGGTTCCCCCAATATCCAGTGATCACTGCTATTACATCAAGAACCACTGCTCTGAAGAACTTCACAATTGTGGGCCATGTGCCACCTGGAAGATTTTTTTAATGTAAAATGCACCAATTAAAAAAAATTAATAATATTTATAAGACCAGGGGCTAATTATTCATTCAGATGATTGCATTCTGTCTCCTAATTCTGCTTACTTAGTTCTACCAAAATGAAAAATCACTCCCCTGTATCCCCCCTCCAAAGCAATCTCCAGAAGTCAAAGCCCTCTTGCTTTCTGGATGTCCTGACCACTTTAAAAGGCTGGATCCCCTGTTCCTCATGTGACTGCCTTTGTTTAAAGGCCCAGAAAGGTCTGCAGTGATAAGGTTTGCCCCGGGACTGGCTACAGAGAGGCTTCTTGGAATTGAATAAGGAGCTGTTTGGTTTCCTAAAAAGAAAGAGGAGACTGCTCAAATAACAAAGTCTAATTTATCACCTCAGAGTCCCCCTTAATGGCAGTGAGATCCATATAGGTGCCAACCCAGACAGACACCCACATGTGTCTGTCTAATGAGCCAATATCATTCCCTTAAAACAGCTCTGCTCATCGGTGCTGATAAAAAGCACAGCCCTTCTTCCTCTGCCTTCCTGGAGCAAGGCTATTAAATCTATTAGCAGCACTTCCGCCACCCAGATGCTTCCACCTTCTTCTGAAAAGCAGCCTTGTCCCAGACAGATCACACTGAAATGGCGCCTGCTCGCATCCATATGAATCTCAAGTTCTGAGATGACAGGCTGTCCAGGTGGCCTGTAGACCGCAGTCATTAGCAGGTGGCAAAGATGTCACAAAACCAGAGTCGAATAAAAACACTAGAGCTGTACAGGAGTTAGCACGACCCATCTGGCCATGTTCTTGGTAATGGGACTCAATAGAAAACTGTTAGATAAGCAAGCTTGGACCCCAGATCAGGGGCTACTCCATACAGGAGGAAAGAGCTTCAGAAGGGGAATTTAACAAGTTGACAAGGTTTTAAATCAAAGTGTAACCCAGGTATCTGTCAGCTGGGGCTTTCCTGTCCCTTGAGATCTAAATAAGCTTTGCTTCAAATGCCGTAGTCCGTGGCAGTCTGGATTCTATGACTGCTTGTCAGCTTAGGGTCTCCACCTTGTCTCATGCTTCTGTGTCTGATCCTTAGCCCTGTACCTTGTCAGGTTGCCTATAAAGATGGCATGCTCATGTGTGAGCAAGGTGGACCTTACAAAAAGTTGGTGTCAATGTGGAGAATCACATTTCATATTGTACATTTCATTCCACCTAGTGGTATAGTGAGCAGTCCACGTTAGACTTTCCTGTGCTCTTAAGCCTGGCTACTCAAGGTGTGGCCAGAGGGCCAGCAACACCTGGATCACCTGGGCGCTTGTTAGAAATGCAGAATCTTGAGTTCTCCCCAGCCTTTCTAAGTCAGAATCCATAATTACCAAGATACCAGGTGATTCAGCCCAATAAAGTGTGAGGAGCACACAACTAAAGTCCTTTTCAGCTGGGCGTGGTGGTGCATGCCTATAATCCCAACCCTTTGGGAGGCCAAAGCTGAGGGATGGCTTGAGCCCAGGAGTTCAAAACCAGCCTGGACAACAAAGTGAGACCACCCCCCCCACCCCGCAACCCCGCCCACCGATCTCTACAAAAAATTTTAAAATTATCCAGGTGTGGTGGCGCATGCTACTCAGGAGGCTGAGGTGGGAGGATCGCTTAAGCCCAGGAGTTCAAGGCTGCGGGGAGCTAAGAAGGCACCACTGCACATTGCACTCTAGCCTAGGTAAAAGACCCTGTCTTTAAAAAGATAAATAAATGCAAAATATAACATTTCTTCCATGATAAATTAGGTCTTTGTTTTCCTGGCTGTCCCCTTCTGGGTAGAAGATTCCTTAGGGGAGGACCTGAAATCTGTGGTCGTCATTCCTGTATCTTCAGTGCCCAGCAGAGAGAGAGAGACTCAGAAATTTTGTTTTTCCTCCTGTCTTTGCCTTGGGAATCCCTACAAATTAACAGCAGTGGTCAAACGAATCCTGCCCCTAACTCAGCCCCTTCCTTTGTCCTTAGTTAGGGGCCTAGGCTACCTTTCTGAGCTATGTCAGACCCACCTGCCTCACCCTGCTACTCATCTTTAGATGGGCCCCTCCTCCCCAGCCCTTGTCTGTTCTCTTGCTACCCAAGGGTTCCAGCTTTGCCACCAGCTACTCATGTGTGACTTTTTGAAAATCACCCTACCTTCTGGGTCTCATCTGTAAAATGAGTGGATTTGACTCATTAGCTAAGAGCTCTTAACGGCAGCATTTGCAACTCACAGGTGTGTTTTAATCACTGGCAAGGTACTTTGCAAGTGACTTTTTATATGATCATTAAGGTTTGGCAATGGGCTTTTTTAAATGAATAGAGCAGATTCAAGGTTATCCCTTTGACTGTCATTCTCAGTTGCATTCTGGTGTGCCTTCTGAAACAGGAGAAAAACGGGTGGTGGTACAGGTAGCTCCAGGGATCACACACAAGCTTGGGGCATACACACCGTTGGGAATGTGTTATGTTTCACATTTAGAAAAGTTGCCTGGTTATCTCTCGTGTCTCAACAGCACAAAGACTGATCTATAAACTTTTCAGCTCCGTCATCTTTTGGGCTATAAGGCCTGGTGTGAAAGAGGTGGTTTTTATTTTATCTGGAGAAAAGACTGCTCTTGGAAAATGCGAATTTCCAAATATCTCCTGTGATGTAGTAGCGCCTCTTAAAATTTAAATCTCACACAGAGACACTTGAGCAGGTGATACTCTTTACATTTTTTTCCTTTTCCTCTTTGACTTTGCTTCCAGAAAGCGAGAGGAAGAAAACAAACGAAAAGAGGCAGAACAGCAAAAAGGAAGGCAAAGCCCAGATTCCTGCAGACCCCAGGCCCTTCCCTGTCTGCCCAGCACCCGGGATGCACCCAGCAGGCAGAGCCGGGCCCCCAGCAAGCAGCCTCCTGCTCGCAACGTGGCCCAAGGCCCTGAGCCAAGAGACAGCAGAGGATCTCCAGGAGGGTCTCTAGGCAGAGCCCTCCAGAAGGAGCAGTATGCTTCCTCGGATTTGCAGGGAACAAACTCCAGAAGGCCAAATGGTAGGTGTATTGCCTTTGTCATCTCCTGCTGGCCCACGGACTGTGGGCTTTTTTCTTTGGTGTATTTAGACCAATTACACTTAAGATAATTGTTATATTAGCACTTAGGACCACCACTTTATGATTTGTATTCTACTTGTTTCCTCTGGTTCTCAGTTCTCTTTTTTTCCCTTCCTGTAGGTTACTTCAGCATTTTTAAGCATTCCATCTTGATTGATTTATGGTTTTTTGTTTTCTTTTCTTTTTTAGAGTGAAGCGTGAAAACCTCACTTCCATTTATCTTGTCCACTTTTAAGTATCATTGCTTAGGTATCAGATGGTGTCATAAATTTTGTTTCAATCATGAGATACAATTTATAAAACTCACAAAGGAAATAACATTTTATGCACCCGTATTTCTGCTCTTCTGTTGTTTCTTCTTCCTTCCTGATGCACTAAGATTCTTGTATCCTTTCCTTTCTGTATGAAGAGCTTTCTTTGGCCAATCTTTAAGGGTATGTCTGCTAGCAACGAATTCTTTCAGTTTTCCTTTGTCTGAGAATGTTTTTATTTGATTCCTGAAGAATCATTAAGACAGATGTAGAATTCGTGGTTGGCAGTTCTTTTCTTTTAGCACTTGAAAAATATTGTGCCATTTCCTTTTGACTTCCATGGTTTCAGATGAGAAATCCACTGTCCTTCAAATTGGTGTTTCTCAGTAACAGTCCTAGGTAATATGTCATTTCTCTCTGGCTGCTTTCAAGATTTTAAAATTTATCATTAGCTTTCAGAAGTTTAATATGATGTGTCTTAGCATGGGTTTTTGCAGTTTATCCTATTTAGAGTTTACTTGTATGTCAAGGGTCCCCATGATCCCCATCCCCAAGACTACCAGGTTTGGTGATGTTGGAGGATTTACTAGGGGGACTCAGCATATAGTTGTACTCTCAGTTAGGATTTATTATAACAAAGGGACACAAAGCAAAATGAGCAAAGAGAAAAGGTGTATGGAGCAATGTCCAGAGGAAATTAGGCACGAGGTTCCAGTGGCTCTCTCCCAGTGGAATCACACGCAACACGTTAAATTCCTTCTGCAATAAATTTAACAACCAGTCAGACAAACTTTTGTTGACAAAGAAAGCTCACATGAACCTAGGACTCCAGGATTTTTATCTGGAGTCAGTCACATAGATACCCTCTGCCTAGCATATGCCAAAATTCCAGACTCCCAGAAGGAACAGTGTGCAGCACGAACCCTATTGTTTGCATGAAGCAATTTAAACACATTGAGCTACTCTTAGAAGTTAGAAAATGGTAGGAGCTTTCTCAAAATCTAAGTGCAAATGCCAACACGTGAAAAAGGCAAATTATGTCTTTGTATTATTATGAAAATAGCCCTGACCTTATGGACTTTCTCAGAAGGGGGCTCTGGAACTTCATGATTACTGAATTCAGGGCTTGGACAGTTCAACCTGTTTCTTTGAACCTTAACTTCCTTAGCTGTGAAGTGAGGGTATACTTTCTACACCACAAGGTAGCTATGGATAGAAATAATTCATGTAGAGTACTTGTTACAGCCCATAACTCATCATAGGTTTTCAGTAACTATTATTATTGAGCCACACGTTAATCCAGCCAAGAACAACTACAGAAAAGTATACATAAAATGATTACAGGCTGGGTGCAGTGACTCACACCTGTAATCCCAACACTTTGGGAGGCCGGGGCACGCAGATTACTTGAGGCCAGAAGTTCAAGACCAGCCTGGCCAACTTGGCGAAACTCCATCTCTACTAAAAATATAAAAATTAGCCAGGCATGGTGGTACATGCAACTCAGGAGGCTGAAGCACAAGAGCTGCTTGAACCTGAGAGGCGTTAGTTGCATTGGGCTGAGATTGTGTCTCTGCACTCCAGCCTGGGCAAAAGTGAGACTCTGTCTCAAAATATATATATATATGTAAAATGACTATAAACATTTCTGGAATATAATTCCATAATCAACTTTACAGTGTAATCCTTAAGGATTGTATACTCATGATGCTTTGCTACATATTCATTCATTTATTCATCCAACCAGCTTTAATTAAGCTCCCATAATGTGACAGCCATGTTGAACTTCCTTGAGTTCTTTCTTAGCTTGGGGCCTTTGCAGATGCCACTCCCTCTACCTTATTTTTGAGATATCAGGGATAATGTTGCTTCTTCTGTTCAACCCTTATCTCCCCACTAAAGGAGGCTATAGTTTCCTGCTATATGCTCCCATACTTCTCCTATACTTCCCTCTTATAAAGATCATCACTTTTTACTGTTTATTACTGGTTTACTTGTCATTTTTTCCACTAAACTGCAAGATCTGTGAGAGCAGGGTTGCTTCCATTGTCTACTGCTGCAAACAAACCACACAAAGACGAAGTGACTTTGAACAATAACGATTTAATTTTTATGATTCTATTTTGGTTGGAAAGTTTCTTTACAGGCTTCATCTGGTCTCACTCATGTGTCTACATTCAGGTGGAGAGTCAGTGGAATTCCATGTCTAAGATATACTGACTTGAATGTCTAGCAATTGATGCAAGCTATCAGATGGGATTCTTTGACTCTGTTTTACATGGTTTTCATCCTCCAGTAGACTAGACTGGCTTCCTTACATCGTGGTCTCAGGACAGCATTCTCAGAAAGCAAAGATAAAAGCCACAAGACCTCTTGAGAAATAGACTCTAGAATTTGCACACATTGTATTGATCAAAGCAAATTACGAGACCATCCCAGACCAAATGATGTGGAGAAATAGATTCCACCTTTGTGCATACGAAGATGGGAGGAATTTTTGGCTATTAAACAACCTGTCATAGTTCCTATTTGGTCACAGATTATTCACATTCCTCCCGCATGCAAGATATTCGTACCCCTTGATATGGATTGGCTCTGTGTCCCCATCCAAATCTTGTGTTGAATTGCAATTCCCAATGTTCGGGGAGGGACTTGGTGGGAGGTGATTGGATCATGGGGGCGGATTTCCCCCATGCTGTTCTTATGATAGTGAGTTCTCACAAGATCTGATGGTTTAAATGTGTGTGGCACTTACCCCCTCGCTCACGCTCTCTCCTGCTACCATGTGAAGAAGGTGCTTGCTTCCCCTTTGCCTTCCACCATGATTGTAGGTTTCCTGAGGCCTGCCAGTCATGCTTCCTGTTAAGCCTGTGGAACTGTGAGTCGATTAAACCTCTTTTCTTTATAAATTACCCAGTCTCAGGTAGTTCTTTATAGCAGTATAGGAATAGACTGATACATTCCTATCTCAGTACCCCAAAATCTCAACCTGATTATCTCATCACACTTGAAGTCTAGGATTTTAAGACATGAATCAGATGTGGTTCAGGTTCACCAGCTGGGACTCTTTCTGATTCAGAGATCAATCAGCCAAAAAGATACATTATCAACACCACTCCCCCACACCCAACAAACAGTGGTGAGATAGGAACAGAATAACCACAGTAGACAAAAGGGTAGAATAGGAGGCGCATAGCAGCCATTAGTCCATAGCAATTCTGAAAGCCAGCTGGTCACATTTTACCAGGACCCCTACTCTGAGGTAAAATTCCTTGATTAGGGTCTCATTTTACTCCTGGTGCCTTCCTATTCCATTGTTCTCCATGGCTCTTGGCTCTGCTACCTGAATTCTTGACTCTGCTCTCTGAGAAGTCCTTCCTTTTCCAAAGAAATGCCCCTGTTTGCAGCTGAGTAGCTTTCTCAGCCTGTCTCCTGACTATAGGATACTGGGGCCCCAGAGGCTTCTTTTTGATTTGAACTATGTCACCAGTTCCAGCTTGTGGTACTCTCAATAATACGATTATCTCAAAAACTTCATGGGTTTCCTGTGAATCTGATTGGATTCATTTCATATTTCAAAAGCCGCATCCATAATTTTTCAAACAAGCTTTTCTCTCATTTGAGTGGCTCAGATTTCTGTGGGAAAATGCCCTTGAGATTCTTAGAAATTCTTTTGTCGAGCTGAGAAGGCCTATTATATACCACCTTAAATATTTTTTAATCTTAATAAAGGGTGTACAGCCATACGTTTTTTGTTTTGTTTTGTTTTTTGAGACAGGGTCTCACCCTGTCACCCAGGCTGGAGTGCAGTGGTGCAATCACAGCTCACTGCAACTTCTGCCTCCCAGGCTCAAGTGATCCCCCCACCTCAGCCTCCCAGGTAGCTGGGACCATAGGTGTGTGCTACCATGCCTGGCTAATTTTTTGCATTTCTTTTTCGTAGAGACGAGATTTCATCATATTGCCGAGGCTGGTCTCAAACTCCTGGGCTCAAGCAATCTACCTGTCTTGGCCTCCCAAAGTGCTGGGATTTTATAAGTGTTAGTCACTGTGTCCGGCCTGATTTGATCTTTATGCTGAGGCCTATGAGACTTTTGCTGGCTGGAAAGAATAAAAATGTTAAAATAGTTTTATTTTCTAACCCAGCACATCCTGCGATCTTTACATTGTCTCTAAATTTTGCTTGCAAATGGAGCAGTTTTTTCTTCATTTTATTTGCTTTCTCCCCATACCTTGTCATATGTAGGTTAAAAAGCAGTTGACATTTTGTTCTACATTCCATCTGGAAACCTCCTGAACTAAATCTACAGCTTCATTAGGTATATTTTCTATCTTCTACGTTACTGCAGGTGACAATTTTGCCAGTTAATTCTGCCACTGAATAACAAGATTCACTTCTCTCTAGATTCCCACAGCAATTTCTTCTCTGCTCTTCCAGCCTTCACCAGCAGTCTCTTCATTGCCTTCCCAGCTTCTGCTCACCAACCAGTCCAAAGTCAATACCATGGATTTTATATTTTAAGACAGCACCTCTCTTTTATAGATATAAATATCTGTGTTGGTTATCTCCTGTAGCATAATAAACCACTCCCAAAACTAAGTGGCTTAAAACAACAGAAGTTTATTATTTCTCACAGTCCCGTCAGCTACCTGGGCAGTTCCTCTTCTCGATCACCTGGGCTCACTCATGAGGTATATCTTCTTATATCCCTTTCTTTGTTTTTTCTTTTTTGAGACAGAGTTTTGCTCTTGTTGCCCAGGCTGGAGTGCAGTGGCGCGATCTTGGCTCACCGCAACCTCCGCCTCCTGGGTTCAAGCGATTCTCCTGCCTCTGCCTCCTGAGTCACTGGGATGAAGGCATGCACCACCACGCCCAACTAGTTTTTTTTATTTTTAGTAGAGATGGGGTTTCTCCATGTTGGTCAGGCTGGTCTCGAGCTCCCGACCTCAGGGGATCTGCCCGCCACGGCCTCCCAAAATACTGGGATTATAGGCGTGAGCCACCGTGCCCGGCCCATCCCTTTCTTTCTTACATGAAGAGTAGCATAGTTTAGATAGCTCTTTGGCACTTAAGAATATTTTATTTTACATTATTGAGACATAGTCTTACTCTGTTGCTCAGGCTGGAGTGCAGCGGCACAAACAGCTCACTGCACCCTCAACCTCCCAGGCTCAAGCGACCTTTCACCTCAGCCTTCTGAGTAGCTGGGACTACAGGCATGCACTACCATGTCTGGATAATTGTTTTTTTATTTTTAGAAGTGGGGTCTCACTGTGTTACCAGGCTTGTCTCAGACTTGGCTCAAGCAATCCTCTTGCCTCAGCCTCCCGAGGTGCTGGGCCACTGCACCCAGCCAGAACAGTTATTTTAAAGTCTATTTCTGAAAACACATTATCTGGATAATCTATGTGCCTGTTTTAGTAAGATTTTTTTTTTTTCTTTGAGACAGAGTCTCGCTGTCACCCAGGCTGGAGTGCAGTGGCGCGATCTCAGCTCACTGCAACCTATGCCTCCTGGGTTCAAGCGATTCTCCTGCCTCAGCCTCCCAAGTAGCTGGGACTACAGGCACACACCACCATGCCCAGCTAATGTTTGTATTTTTAGTAGAGACAAGGTTTCACCATGTTGGCCAGGCTGGTCTCAAACTCCTGACCTCTTGATTCCCATCTCGGCCTCCCAAAGTGCTAGGATTACAGGTGTGAACCACTGTGCCTGGCATATTTTTCATTTTAGATGTTAGTCATTTTCAGAGGACCCCTTTGTGCAGCTTGAGTTGAGAGCATGTCACACTAAAGCAATATTGTGTTTGCTTCTGTGAGGCATCGTGGGATATCTCCATCCTGAGAACAGTTTTTATGTTACTGTCTCCTATGGATTGAGAATAAATGAATACCAAGCCCATGTGAGGAAGAAGACTTTGGTTTTAAATTCTTATGGGAGACTCCTTACCCTATCCAGAACCTGAGCTGAAACAAACTTCCTTGTCATCTCCAAGTGCTGGAAAGCAGATTTTAAAATCTGGATTATTTCCAAAAGGTATATCCCTTCAAGAGTGCTGGCTTCAGGTAGAGTCTTGTTCCAGTTAACTTTCTTCCTGCAAGGCCTCATTTTCTGTTCTTATGTAGATGTTAAAATACAGCCAGATATTTAATAAGACCATCTGTTGCCCACTCCACCACCATTACCTGCCTAGACAGTCACTGGATCAGCTCACACACTTAATTGCTTTGATTTTCAATTTTCTCTTTGTTTTTGGCCTCCAGAGTTCCTTTATTTTCTTAAAGGCATGACAGTGCTTTCCAAAGGATATCCATTATTTTTGTTAAGGTGAGAAGGGCTTCAGGTTATCTAACCTACCATATTGCTGGAAATAGAAGTTAAACAGTTTTTTCCTAGTCGTATTTGCCACTATTATGGTAATGATATAGTCTAAGTCTGAATATCTTATGTGAACATATTAGCAAAATTATCCTACTATGCAAGTTTTGGACGATATTTTTTCTTTGTTTCCCCAAGAAACAGCCAGAGAACATTCTAAAGGCCAATCTGCCTGTGTCCACTTCAGACCCAATGAAGGCAGTGATGGAAACAGGCATCCAGGAGTTCCCTCTGTTGAGAAGTCCAGAGGTGAGACAGCTGGTGATCAGCGGTGTGCAAAGGGGAAAGGCTTCGTGAAGCAGCCCTCCTGTATCAGGGTGGCTGGGCCTGATGAGAAAGGAGAGGACTCCAGGCGGGCAGCTGCAAGCCTTCCACCCCACGATAGCCACTGGAAGCCCAGCAGGCGGCATGACACAGAACCCAAGGCCAAATGTGCCCCCCAGAAAAGGCGCACTCAAGAGCTCAAAGGAGGAAGGTGCTCCCCAGCTGGTTCTAGCCGGCCTGGCAGTGCCCGGGGGGAGGCAGTCCATGCTGGGCAGAATCCTCCCCACCATCGTACACCAAGAAACAAAGTGACACAAACCAAGCTCGCAGGAGGGCTCTATTCAGATTTGCCACAGAGCACAGAGGAGTTGAGGTCAGGAGCCCGGAGGCTGGGGACATCCACCCTGTCCGAGGACTTTCAGGTATCTAAGGAGACTGATCCAGTACCTGGTCTCTCTGGGCAAAGTGTGAATATTGACCTTCTCCCTGTAGAGCTCCGACTGCAGATAATTCAGAGAGAACGAAGGAGGAAAGAGCTGTTTCGCAAAAAGAACAAGGCAGCGGCAGTCATCCAGCGTGCCTGGCGAAGGTAGGAAAATGGGGTGCTGCCACATCTGTGGTTCTTTGGTTGTTACTGGTATTCTCAACATGACATCTGTGCTCTTTGATGTTTTCCCAATGAGTTCCATTTGGTGGCATGATAAGGCCAATTTTATGGAGCCTACCCATGAAATTCACACAAGATCCTAGTAATTTACATTGTGTAAACCATTTGGAAGATGTTTTTGCCTAGAAAGATGGGAAAGTGCTCCCAGCACAGCATGGGGTAAAGGAAAAAGTCCTGGGTTTGTAACCATGAAATGTCAGATTCAGGTAAGCTCAAACAGGTTATGTGACTTTGGGCAAATCTCGTGGCCCCCCGACCCTCTGCTTCTTCATCTGTAAAACAGGATTTAATAATTGTTGCACATGTCCTATTAATACGACAGGTTACTAGAATGAGATAATGCACACTTCATTAATTCTAAATTACCACACATAGGAGATCCTTTATTTTTATTCTTATGTCTTTACTACCCAGAAACTAGTCATACTCAAAAAACCTAAACCAGGGTCTGGATATAATAGATTGAGTAACTAAACTGTATTATGTAAACCTCTCTGAGCATCTTCCAAGCTCAGAATACGTAGTAGGCACTGGGAGTGGGGGTGAAGGCTGTCCTAAAAGCCTGAAACAGTGTCCCAATATACTAGAGACAAATGCTGCTGGGGGGTGATTATGGGAGGACTTGAGCGGTCTTCTTGCTACAAATGTTCACGTCTCATAATCTCTTTCATGCTGAAAGCCTCGCTAGAGCCTAAATCTAAATTAGGCCTTACAGTGATGAGTGTCCAGAGAGGAGCTGAACCCATCACCAATAGGTGGGAGCTGGCCAGGCACAGTGGCTTAGACCTGTAACTCCAGCACTTTGGGAGGCCGAGGTGGGAGGATCACTTGAACCCAGGGTTATGAGACGAGATCACCCCGGGAAACATGGCCAAACCCCGTCTCTACAAAAAAATACAAAAATTACCCAGGCATGGTGGCATACACCTGTAGTCCTAGCTATTTGTGAGGCTGAGGCAGGAGGATCGCTTGACCCCAGGAAGTCAAGGCCAGTGAGCCATCACCATGCCACAGAACTCCAGCCTGGGCGACAGAGTGAGACCCTGTCTCAAGAAAAGAGATAGGTGGAAGTTATTTTCCCACCATCACTGGAGAGAGGAAGACGGATGGGGAGACAAGGCAAGGAAATAATGCGGGCACAGGTGTGCCAGATATCAAGGTTCCTGTCAGGAGAAAAAGGAAGACGTTCTCTCCTTAACATTGGCAGGGAGAAAACAAGATGGATTCCTGGGAGGTCCAGGGAGAGGCTTCCGTTCGCATTATATCAGAGACTGCCTAACCCAGAGCCAGGTGATCTGGTTTGTGCTTGCACAGGCTTTGCAATATGTTCTCCCTCATGTCTGTTTCAGCTCTTGGCCATTAACAAAGTCCTCCCATGCCTGACCCCATGTGATCTCTCAACCACACCAGGAAGCCACCACGACAGGGAGCAGTATCCCCATTTTTCAGACGAGAGGCAAAATTGACTTGTCCTTTTTGTCCAGATCCAGCACTTGAACCTCTGGCTGACTCGAATCCAAGGGCCTTTCCCTTACATTATTAGTGAAGTTAGTTTTTGCTGTGGTCAAGCTAATGGAGGTGGAGATGGGCCCCATGCACTCTGCCTGAAAATAGGATGGAGAAGACTGCCTGATTAGTTGTCATACACATCAGGGTAACCAGGAGAAGGGTGATATTACTATTACCAATTGTTAACATACTAGTAGTTTTTATTGGACACTTGTGCCAGACACTGTTCAAACTAGTTTTACCTGGATTAATTCATGTAATCATCACCAATAACCCTGCAAGGTAGATATTGTTCTTACCCCCGTTCCACAGATGAGGAAACTGAAGCACAGAGAGGTTCATCAACTCACCAACATTACAGAGCAAGTGCCAGGGCTGGCTTTGAGCCAAGACAGTTGGCCTCTAAAGCCACAGGTGGAAATGGCCATTGCACCCCCTCGTTGGGGCAGTTATGCTGGTACATGCACTGGCTACCATCCAGATGAACTTTTTAAGTATTTTGGTTGAAATCTAGGATCTAAACAAGCCAGCAAGGTTTACCACGCCAGACCTCACAGCTGCTCCCTACCTGAAATGTCTCCTTCAACTGTCTGACTCCTTTGAAGAGTCAGAAGCTGACAGGTCCTGTCAGTAAGTGACCAGAGTAGCAAATGAGCCTTCAGTCATTCCCCCAAGAACAGTGGGCTTATGGTCTAACATGCGCACCTGGGTAGACAACTACACAGGCTCCCTCTGGATGTGCCATTGTGCAATTCTGATGCCCAAAGGACTTCTGGGATTGTTGCACATTGCAGAAAGCCAAGTCTGTTGACAGTAAAAACACTTTTATTAGTTCTATTATAACTACTTTTTCTATTGTAAATACAAGAGCCTGAAGTGCTGTCCTGAAAATGTGTCTGATAGCAAACCTAAGCAGTGAGGGCTGGGGCAGGGATCAGGGCTGGACACGTAAGTGCTCAGTGCAGGCTGTGGTTAGAGGGGACAGGTGCAGGATAGAGAAAAGGAGCTGGAAAACAGGCAGGGAAGGAGGGGGCAAAATGAACCTTGGGTCCTGAGAAAATGAAACTTGATCTTAAAATTGTCAGTTTAATAACCAAGTAAGATGACATTTTAAAGAACTGAAACAGGACCCTGGACAAGCTGAACAGGAAAGGTGCTGCTGGGCCCACTGAGGGCTGACATCATTAACAGCTTCAGCCACTACCCAGGCTTCCCCACAAGTTCTGTGCCCACAAGAGCAGAAGGTATAGAAGACAGCATTTCAAACAGGAGAAACTGAATTATAGAGTGGTAGTGCCATACTTTTGTCTAGACTTGGCTTTTTGGAAATGTGGTAGGTATTCTAGTAGAGGGATGCCATGGTGTTACTCTCCAGGAAAGAAGGAAGAGTCATGTAGGCTGACTGAAATCAGCCTTTGGAAGGAGGGAGGGGCTGTACCACGCACTGCAAGGAGCTTTTAGCAGACTTAGGAAAAAGACTACTTCCCATTTGGTGCAGCCCAAATGGAATCACTGTAAAATCAGACATGAAGCCTGTTGCTCTCTGCAGCTACCTATAGGCTCACTGGGAATAAAGACAGGTTACAGATAATAAACATTGCTGCAGCTTTCCTTTGGAGGCCTCAAAATAGTTGTGCTCAGTAAGTTTGGGAGTGCATGTAGGATAGAAAGCATCAAATAAACCCTAGATGGCAATACAGCCATCATCCCCCATCCCTCACCCACTCCAAACCCACCTCCAACAGACTTATCTTAGTAAAATGCAGCTCATACCTTTACCACTCTAAAGCCCCCTTTCCTCACCAAATACACAGTGCTTCCAACACATTGTGTTACTGACTTTCTGGCACAAATGCCTGTATCTCTGCTGATGCCAGTTCTGCTGCATAGAATGCCCTTCTCTGTCTGGTAAGCTCCTATTCATCTTTTAAAATCCAGCACAAACATTAGCCTTGTGAAACCTTACCAATCTATCAGTCAGTCCTGCATCTGTTTGCACAACCAGCTCCTTGCTCTTGCATGGTACTCTCATGCCACACGTCCCTCTTTACACAGCAGCCTGTCCCACTAGTCTGTGAGCTCCTTGAAGGCAAGGAATCATGATTGAATCCTAGTTCAGGAGGTGTTTGATGATGGAAAAAGAATTCCACATTCAACATGCTGCCGCCGAAATTAGGAATGGGAGCTTGAATGAACCTACCAGGAATTCAGCAAATACTACTACTATAGTTTCTAGGAACCTTAAGGAAATTTAGTTTTCTCAGTGCTGTGATCTTAAAGCCTCTCCTCTCCTCTGACCCCACCAGCTACCAGCTCAGGAAGCACCTGTCCCACCTTCGACATACGAAGCAGCTTGGAGCTGGAGATGTGGACAGATGGAGGCAAGAGTGTACAGCATTACTCCTCCAGATTTGGAGGAAGGAACTAGAACTAAAACTCCCCCAAACTACTGCAGTAAGCAAGACCCCCAAGAGTCCATCCAAGGGCACCTCAGGCACAAAGTCCACTAAGCACTCAGTGCTTAAGCAAATCTATGGTAACTGTCCTTCTGCCTACTTTGTAGTTCACAAGTACCCCCAGAGTGCCACATCAGAATCTGAAATGGGATTTAATTACATTGGGTAAACTTCCATTCAGATAAATTAGGTTGGTGCAAAATTAACTGTATAATTCAAAATGGTCAAAACTGCAATTAATTTTGCACCAACCTAATATTTTTCAAGCACCAAGAGAACAGCACCATTTCGTGCCTGCCTCCCAGTGATACTGGGTCAGAATTGTTTGGTTTCATGAGGCGTTCTAGCATCTCAGCCCAGAGCACCCTCAAGCTTTACTGTTTAAACCTCTCCAGACCCCTGCTTGAGTCTCCCCCTTGCATTACCCATTTGGAGCATTCAAGACTTAGCTAGACCCTGACTTTTCCTATGCTAAGATGTTATAGGGTTGCCCACTATGAGAATGCTCAACACCCATGCACTACAGTAAGTATTTGTTCAGCAGATTAACTTCTACAAATGGAAACATTTTCAGTTCTGCAAAGAGCCCATCCAAGTAGACCCAGTGGTGTTCAAGAAGCCTTGCTGGCTCAAGAGAAAAAAGATGGCCGGGCGCGGTGGCTCAAGCCTGTAATCCCAGCACTTTGGGAGGCGGAGGCGGGCGGATCACGAGGTCAGGAGATCAAGACCACGGTGAAACCCCGTCTCTACTAAAAATACAAAAAAATTAGCCGGGCGCGGTGGCGGGTGCCTATAGTCCCAGCTACTCAGGAGGCTGAGGCAGGAGAATTGCGTGAACCCGGTAGGCGGAGCTTGCAGTGAGCCGAGATCGTACCACTGCACTCCAGCCTGGGCGGCAGAGAGAGACTGTGTCTCAAAAAAACAAAAAAAAAAAAGAGAAAGAAAGATAAGCAAGGGCACCTTTAGAAAGATCTCCTACGGCATGAACTTTAACATTCATTTAGCAAAATCTCAGAACTTTGCCCTGGGCCTACATGGTTCCACACCATACCTAACTTATCTTGACACACACCTGCAAGCTCAAGCCTTTACCACAATAAGGAATTCAGAAGTTGGTCAGGCCAAAGCTATCCCTGGCCAAAGAAAAGTAACAGTTATTGGTTCATTTCAGGTTGTTCTCAAGAAGGGAAAATACAACATCCTACAAGATCTGTAAAAGCCTCTTCCGTGTTGCGTCTCAACTCAGGTAAGGCAGTCACTGCAAAGCAGACGGTGGGGGAGAACATGGGGAAGCGTTTTCCTTCATTTCATCCCCAAAGACAGAAGACATTAGCACAGAGATGGCCAGGGTTTTCCAATGGTCATTTGATTTCATGGGATTATTACTGTAGCCAACATCTGTCTCCCTAAGAGGCAAATTATTTTCACAACTAAAAGCTATTATTAACTCCAATAGAAACAATAAATGGTAGCTATTATTGATCACTTTTATACAGTTTTTCACATAAAGGAGAAAATAAATGAAAATACTGTCATTTTTCAAAGGAATACCTTGGGAATCCTTTATAATCCTTATGATTCCCCGTTTCCTTCTCCAAGATGGGAAGACCACCATGAAGAGGACACTGAGAGCATGTACAGCCCAGGCTCAGCTGTGCGTGATTTCCCTCATACTAGAGAAGCTCAGGGAACTTTCTTTTCAGCCGCAAGACAAGAGTTTTACTTAGTGCCCCCTCTTTCACGCCAGCATTAAATATGGGTGATAAGTTCATTGCTGTCAGCAGCTAATGCCAGGTCCAGTGTTTCTCATAGGTGGCTATGGCAACACGCTCCCCGCTGCCTCCCCGATCCACACAGTCATCCTGGAGGAACAGAGTGCAGCTGGGAAGGTGAACAATGACTGTCAGCATGAACTTTAACATTCATTTAGTTTTTGATGGGGGGCAAAAACCTGGAGGTGGGGGACAGAGTAATTACTGCCAAATCTTTAATAAGAGTTGGACAACTCAGGTAATACAGACAGACTGATCAGGGAGTGGTGGGTGGGGTAGTTAGAAACTTTGAAAGCCATCAAGGCCTACAGTCTGTTTAAAAACAACCAAAAAACACCCTTTCGTTATACCTGAGCAAATTGAAGAATCATTTCAAAAACAGAATTGTCAGGTATCACTACCAGAGAAGTGGCATTTAGACAATCAAATACTAGCATAAATTAGATAACTGGATCATTTTTCACTGTCTTAAGAGAAAAACAAATCCAAGACAGTCAGAAATCTTTTAAAATGGTGTTTAGCAGCATGTAAGTTTTTTAGTTAAGGGACTCAGAAGGGACAGAGTAAATCAATTCAAATCAAAACTTAATGGTTTCACAGGACTTCATATGAACAAGCAACTTATTTGTCCTACACATATTTTTGACTGGTTTAAAATCAGACAAGGATAAAATGATCTTTTCCTAACCCCAAATTTGGGAGCACACACGGTTTTGTTAGGTTCAAGCCCACCCACATTAAGCATTAACCAGTTAATATTATTGCTCTCACCCTCCAACTTGGAGAGAGACCCCCAAGAGGTTTTAGTAGTGCCTTTACCACTTAGGAAGAAACAGAAAGGTGGATATAGCAAAATGCCAGCCTCCTTGGGCTGTTTCTCCACATGTATTTGGGAGGCAGCAAAACAATCCCTGCTCACTTCAGTCTTCTACACCCAGCCTTGCAAACCACCCACCAAGAATCTCAGCAGAGCCTTTTACTGATACACACACACACCTGGGCCTATCTCTTTAACAATAAAAGAAAACAACTCCCTTTAAAATTCCATTCCAGTGAATGGAATAACTGTGATTATTAGTATTGGTACCCCCTGTATAAATCCAGTTTATTCTTGCTTACCTACAGAGGGGTACACAGATGACAACTCCATTCAAGATACAGTGAAGATACTATTTAATAGTTCACATTAAAATAATTTTGTGGAAGTTATAAAACCAAGAGAGAAAAATTGAGACATACGTTTGCTACTTTTTAAAACTACTAAACTTTTAATGTATTTGCTTATATGCTCCAGAAAAAGTTAGAAGCAAAATATAGCACTATCTTCAGCAAGGTCTCTCAACCATATGGGGCCTCAGTATCATTTGTCAGTATCATTTGTCAAAGTATATCACTAACGTTTTCTGACTGTGGCATCCTATACATTTGTTAATTCAAAGTCATAAAAAGGCCTCAAAAATCCATTTTAAGTTTGATATTCCCATCAGCTTATCATTCATGAGGATCTGAATATTTCCTAACCTATTTCCTAGAACAGACTATTCAAAGTATAATAGTAGAGTTAAAAGAGGTTACGTGTTTATGTAATGTGTTATGTGAGAGACACAGAGAGAGAATATATTTGTTATTTCAGGCAGACTGAAGACCGAGCTTCCGGTATCAGCTCCCCAAGTGCCTGCTCTCTCTTAGTCAAGTCTCCCTTGAAGAGATGTCCCATATCTTGAGACTGCAGAAATATAAAGCTATTATATTAATTCATCCTGCCTCTACAGTAAACTGGCCCATCATCCCAGGGATGGCCTAAACCTAAGTCCTTCTTCCTCAACGCCAATGAACTGTTCCCTTCAGCCTTAAAATTAATAACCTTAGTATCTATCTGGTATTTGTTTTTAACAGTGAGCAACCTACAGTGCATACATCTCCTTGATAACAGTGGAAGATCAAAGAACTTTTCTTATAACCTGCAATCAGCTACTCAGCCAAAAAACAAAACAAAACCTTGACTGCCTAAGGAGGAAGACTGTGTTCGGGTGAGCTGGCATAGCTAGTGCAGAGTTCAAATTTTCTGCTGATAATCTTTTACACTTTGGGAAAACTTTAGTATCTGTACCTGAAGGCTTATTCACCTAAAAATGTGTTAACTCAAAGAAAATGTCAGAATGTTTCCTTTCTGCTCTTACACAGGATTGTTTTGTCAATCAATGTAGCCTGCACTGAAAGGACCTGCATAGACTATGTCTGTGCAAAGTGCCTGGGTGTCTGCTTTCACCACAGTCTGTATGGTTGGAAATGAGAATTCACAGTTAACAGTAAAATCTAAGGCAAACTAAGGCTGCTGGGTTGGAATTTCTGCCAGCTAGCTGGTACTGGCTTCCTGACTCAAGAGATGAACCTAAATGAGATAGGAAGCCTGTCCCATAGCAGCCTTCCTCTCACTACTTTCCTGGAATCTAATGCAACAAACTTATCACACACACCACATTCACATCCCACTGTTACTTCAAAATTAATCAGGTTTAAATTTTAGATCAGAATCATGACCCACTGTTTGCATTTAGAAATTGTACAAAAGACCATAGATACATTCTGGTGATTCCTTACATTTTACAGTTCCTACATTAGCCTCTCAAGGCCACAAGTTGCCGCCACGTCTTCTCTGAATGGCTTTCTCAGTGCTGAATACCAACAGCCGTATTACAGTATCAAGGATTCTGTCAGGTAGGGTTTACAGACCATGCAGCAAGGTGCCAACTCAGGCTTCAATGTTCTACTTGTATTTTCTGACCAACTTGCAGAAATGAGCAATCTTCTTAAAATGCCATTCCTGTTGGCAGGGAAGAATGAAACGGCACACATCCTAGCATTCTAAGAACACCTGGTTTAAATAAAATCCAGTGATCATGGACTCTTTCACATTGTTTAAGGGGAAAGCTGCTGTGGGAATATAGACAGTAGGCATAAACAGTGATATATTTTACTCACAAGTATTTTGGGGGTTGCTTTCATTTTTTACACATCAGTGCCACTTCTGTGCTAAAGTTAAGAGACAGGCAATGAAGTGTTCGCTTAAGTTAACTACCTTGGTTTTTAGTTTGCTAATTACTATAAGTCATCGTTTTTGTGATCACAAAAACACAAAGAATGAGGTCTGCCTAGATGGGATTACAAAGATTTAGCCAATTTCTTGGTACATAACAGAAGGTACCACAGGATCACTCTCTGTTTTGTAAATATTTCGCTCCTATGAAATGCACAATGCATAACGCCTGTGACCATGTATCGTGTGCTAGTCCAGGAAGCCAGCATACACATTAATAGGAACTCCCAAGCATTATTTTCCTACATCAATGCAAAGAAGGTTCGTAAACTTCTTTAAAAGTTCAGCTTTAATGACAAAAGATCTATTACATCAGTCTTTCTTCAAAATAAGATAGACGTGAATAAACAACTTCAAACAGGAGGTACCACAGCCTCTTCAATACACTGTAGCCAGTGCGCTGGGCCCTTGGGGATGCCCAGTGATATACACGTTGAAGCAGTAATGTAAGTCTGTGAGCCACTGTTCCTGAACACTTCCACTCTTCAATGTCTGGAGAGAAAAACAAGAGTAATTTGAGAATTGTACCCAAATCTCTATGCTACCTGACAGTATTTTTCACACCCAAACACAATTTCCCAGAGCTGTGGCAACTGCATCCCCATCTATAAATTACCATAGGAAGTCTTCCAGGAAACAGGGAACTATTAATCGGGCATTACCACAGGCGGTGTAAATTCCTAGTTATATCCTCAAATGCCAATGGTTTCTTGTTGAGTGTGTTCCCTCCTGCACATGCTAGAGACTAATGAAATTTCACCACCAACCGTCCCTTCACCCTTGCTTCCCCCTCTTGCCATTCTAGTGTCTCATGATCTTTACCCCAATGCCAACTGAGAATAACTCTACAGGGCCAACCAACAATTTCTGTCAATCTCTTCTTTACAGAAATGGGCTGATTCTCCAGTCTGGGAATAATCCAAGCTCTTGATTTTCTTCCCTTCACTATTTCTGAATTATTCCACTGCCACTTCCATTACCCCTACAAAGGCTACTGAGAAAATTCTAATGAGCACCTGTGTTATATGCATGTAAAAGCACTATTACTTCAAAGTATTACTACAAATCTCAAGGGACAACCTGCAAATCAAACTATACAAAACACCTTTTTAACCCCCCCAAACTAAAATCACCAAAGGAATCCTAAACAACAGAGCTGTCCCCGCCAAACAGACACAGCTGAAGGCAGAGAGCCAACCATTAGACAAAGCTGAAGTCTGCAACTACTTCTGATTTTCTTACTTTCCAGTGAACTAAGTGACTAGAAATTGGCCTGAAGTTTATTCCTGCTAATTTCCTTAATGACAACATTTACTGAACACTTTACAAATGTCAGGTATACTAAAAAATTTACTTTGGTTATCTCCTTTAATGATCACCAAAACACAATAAAGTTGGCATTATTCCCATTTTTGTAGATAGGAAAACAAGCTTGGATAGATAAGAAAGAAAGAAAAAAACTTGCCCAGCTGTCACAGTTCATTAATAGAGTCTGTATTACAGTCTAGGTAGGAATGACTCTGATGCCCTTACCTTTTCAAACTAAACTAAGCTTTGTCACCTTCATTTAGTTTGATTATTTTAAGACTTTTATTACCAGTTCTGGAATAACAGACACACACCCCTGTTAAGTCACAGTCAGGTGCTGGACAGCACAGGAGACCCTGAGAAATTACCACATTGAGATTAATTCCTGTACTCAATATATGGGATCTCTTTCCTCCCTCAAAAGACACTTCCCTCCCATGCCCCTGTCATAAATTCATTCTTATGCTAATATTGCAAAGCCTCCGGTACCATGCTTCTTACCGTGATATTCTTGATGATCTGCTGCACCAAGATCGCATTGGTCAACATATGAGTCCTGAGGGGTGCATGCTGAAGCAGCAGTCGAAGCAGCTGGCCCACAACAGGCAGCTCCTCAGGCCCAACTCTGTTCACCCGCAGGCTCTGCAACATCAACCTGAGGACTCGAGGCAAGAGAGCCAGGATGGAGACACAGACCCCCCACAGCTTGTCCCTAAAATAACAGAGACAGAAATGAGTCAGTGAGCAAATGCACACAGGAAAAAGCCCCCACTTTCCATATCCCCCCAAACTGAAATGTCCCTTTAAGAAACATGTTTTCCAATAACATTTAAGCTGAGAGCCAAATCAAGAATGCAATCTCATTTACAATAGCCCCCCCCCAACACACACACGAAATACCTAGGAATACATCTAACCAAGGAAGTGAAAGATCTCTACAAGAAAGACTACAGAACACCAGAACACTGCTGAGAGAAATCACAGATGACACAGATAAATGGAAAAACATTGCATGCTCATGAATTGGAATAATCAGTATTGTTAAAATGGCCACACTGCTCAAAGCAATCTACAGATTCAACTGTATTCCTATCAAACTACCAACATCATTCTTCACACAATTAGAAAAAAATATTCTAAAATTCATATGGAACCAAAACAAGAGTCAGAATGGCCAAAGCAATCCTAAGCAAAAACAACCTGACTTCACACTACACTACAAGGCTACAGTAACTAAAACAGCATGGTAATGGTAGAAAACAACAGACACATAGACCAGTGGAACAGAAAAGAGAACCCAGAAATAAAGCCACATACCTACAACTATCTCATCTTCAACTCAGGTGACAAAAACAAGCAAAAGGGCAAGGATTCCCTATTCAATAAATGGTGCTGGGACAACTGGCTATCCTTTTGTAGAAGAATAAAAATGGATCCCCATCTTTCATCATATACAAAAAATTAACTTGGCCAGGCATGGTGGCTCACACCTGTAATCCCAGCACTTTGGGAGGCTGAGGCAGGTGGATCACGAGGTCAAGAGATAGAGACCATCCTGGCCAACATGGAGAAACCCTGTCTGTACTAAAGATACAAAATTAGCTGGGCATAGTGGCATGCGCCTATAGTCCCAGCTACTTGGGAGGCTGAGACAGGAGAATTCTTGAACCCAGGAGGCAGAGGTTGCAGTGAGCCAAGACCACACCACTGCACTTCAGCCTAGCAAAAGAGCAACACTCTGTCTCAAAAAAAAAAATTAACTCACGATAGATTAAGAATTCATTACTAAGTCCTCAAAAACAATTGCAAAAAAAAAAAGACAGGTGGGACCTAATTAAACTGAAGAACAAGAGAAACTCTCCACATTTCAGTAAACATGGTGTTTTTCACTAACATTTAGGCTAAGAGCCAAATCAAGAACAATGAACATCATTCTCTTGGTATCTTTATAGAGCAAAATGTTTATGGTAGAGAGAGGTGACCCTGCAGCTAGCCTAACCACATTCTACAAGTGTTAATTAGATAGTGCAATATTCATATGGACCTAGAGTCCACTAACTATGAAAGGGCGTCTGACTTGTTGGGCAGCTGCGTGTTACAGGGGTAGTGAAGCTCGCTGCGGTAGGGGTTCCAATCTTTTTTGGTTTTGGTTTGGGAGCGGGGAGGCGTGCCTGTGCCCAGCTGAGTGCGAGTAGCGCGCGACGCGTGCAAGCTCCGGCCCGCGCCGCGCGCGGGTTCAGCGCGTGTTCCGGTGCGGCTCGGGCCGGTGAGCGTGTTGTGATCTGGGTGTGGTGTGTGTGCCCGGTGATTTGTGTTTGGTATGTTTGTGTTTTGTTGTTGTGTAGTGTGGTGTGTGTGTTGGTCCTCGAATCTCCTGGACGCGTCGTGATGCCGCGCATCTCTGTGTTTTCGGCAAAGTGTTGTGGAGTTTTTCAACGTCCTCCACGTTCTTAGAGGGAGGCAGCCCTTCTCCATATACCAGATTTTTGTTGTTCACAGTATGGTAAGTTCCCATCCTATGGTGAAAGCAGTGAATCGCATTTCTAGGCCAAATAGGAGACTCTACTTGCGAGCCCAGGCTGGGGAGCGAGTCGATGTGCGAGAGGAGAAGAAGAGAAGAAGTGCCGGGGCGGACACGAGGGAAGCCTGTAATCCGCACTTTGGGAGGCCGGCCGGACGGGCGGATCACCAGGAGGTCGCACGGAGATCTCGAAGGACCATCCTGGCGTAACACGGTGAAACGCCCCATTCTCTAATAAAAAAAAAAATACAAAAAATACGGAAAGAAACGTAGCGGGCGATGGGCGGGCGCCGTGAGTCCAGCTACTCAGGGAGGCTGGGAGGGGAGAAGTGCCAGTGAACCCGGGAGGCGGAGCTTGCAGTGAGCTGAGATCCGGCCACTGCACTCCAGCCCGGGCAACAGGCTCCAAAAAAAAAACAAAAACAAAAAAAAAAACACACACACACACACAAAAAGAGAAAGCTGGACTGCAGACGTAGCTAATGCAAAGGCACAGAGATACAGACTACACAAACTAGAAGAAAAATAGAGTAAGCTGCTTTGTCCGTTGCTAAATTTCTAATTCCTAGCCCTTGAGTTTTACAAGTTACTCCTGTAATAATCAATATTTTCATTTTCTACTTTTCTTAATTTGAGTGGATTTCAAAACCACAGACCTTTAAAAAAAAAGATAGCCAACCTCAAGGCCAGATGGGTGAAACCTCTAGGTGACAGAAACTATAACAAAATTCATATGAAGATACCCTGTCATACAAAACTGTATGTGGGATTTTAGGGCTAGGATTTTCAACAGTCAAGAGTACTGGAAGCTGAGGCTTCAAAACCCAGGTATGGAAGGCAGGGAGTTTGAACTATGATCCTTGCATAAAATGGGAAGCCAGGAAAATGCAAATGTCAAACTATCCTACAGGGAAGTCTACAAACCTCCACAGAACTCCCACAAAAGACACCTTAGGGAAAAGGTATGCAGCCCAAAATATGCAAGTCTGTTCAACTTGCTCCCTAAAATAAGGGAGAATGCCCACATCGGAGAAAAAAGGAGCTAATGGAACTAACAAGAACTTTAAAGAAACACCAGTAAACCAAGAACAAGCAAGAATGACAAAATACCAAATGAAAATCCAAAACAGAAACAAATCCAAAAGAAAACAAAACAATAACTGATGAAATAAAATCTCAGTAGGAGGATTAAGTAAAAGAATTAGCAAATTAAGATTTTTAAGAGATAAAGAAGACAGAATAAAAAGCTCCCTATATTTAAAAGGAGTTTTTACAAGAAAATAGAAACAATGGGGGAAGATGGTTAGAAATTAATAACAACTTTCCAGACTTGAAGAAAAAAAATTGAATCTTTGTATTATGGAAGCACACTATGTCTCGGGCAGGATAAATAACAAACCTACACTAGGACACATCCTGATCTGCAACACACCGAAGATGAAGAGAAAACAGTAAAAATATAGATTACTACCTATAAGATTACTGCCTACAAACT